CCCTGAAGATAGATGCCTTTCCCCTTCCATCTAATACCCACTCTGTTCAGTTATACCAGAAAATATTTAATCTACTTATTCTTGTGCCATAACAAGGAAAATTCCATGCAATGTACCTTCGCTGTTTGGATTACTGTTTGCCTTCTATCTTCTTAAATTGGATGACTAACTTTTTAATTTGCATTTTTTTTCTTTCTTTCTTAATGTAAGGACTTGTGCTACAGATTTTTCTAAGTCTCCCTTCTGTTGCATGGCCCAAAGATCAATATCTAATATTTTTGTTACCATTCAGTTCTGAATATTACCTAACTTCCATTAGGTTTTCATCTTTGTCTCGTAATGTAACTAACGATGTGCTCTAAAATTTCTGGAAGTAGAGCGATTTTCTAGTTATCTCCTTCTTATTGATTTCTAACTTAATTGCATTATGATTAAAGAAGATAATCTCTATGTCACCAGTCCCTTGAAATTTGCTAAGACTTGCTTTGAGGTCTGGGATATGGCCAGGATATTTTTTAATGTTTTATTTATTTCTGATTGAGAGAGAGAGAGAGAGAAAGAGAGAGAGCACGCACATGAACAGGGGAGGCGCAGAGAGAGAGGGAGACACAGAATCCAAAATAGGCTCCAGGCTCTGAGTTGTCAGCACAGAGCCCAACGTGGGGCTCGAAACCACGAACCGCGAGATCATGACCTGAGCCAAAGTCGGACGCTCAACCAACTGAGCCACCCAGGCGCCCCTTTAATTTTTTTTTAATGTTTATTTATTTTTGAGAGAGAGAGACAGAGTGCGAGCAGGGGAGGGCCTGAGAGAAAGGGAGACACAGAATCTGAAGGGGGCTCTAGGTTCTGAGTTATCAGCACACAGCCCAACTCAGGACTCGAACTCACAAACCGTGAGATCATGACCTGAGCTGAAGTTGGATGCTTAACTGAATGAGCCACCCAGGCGCCTCTGGCCAGTTTTTATATACATACAGTCCTTTGTGTGTGGCCAAAAGAATCTGTTTACCACAACTGTACCATGTAGTACACAGTATATATATTGTGCCATCTATATTAAGTCAGCTAGTTGGTAAGTTTTTCAAATGTTCTATATCTTTACTGATTTTTGTGCCTCCTTGGTTTATCAGTTCTGAGAGAAGTGCATTTAGATTTCCCACTATAATGGAGAACTCGTCAATTTCTCCTTGCAATAGGCCAACATTTTCAGTATCTATTTTGAGATGTGTATTAGATGCAGACAAGTCAAGAATTATATCTTCCTAGCGAGATGAGACTTTCACAGAACATTCTAGAGTGTTTTCCTACACCAACAACCAATCCTATGATTCTTTGGACACCAGCTGGGTGTTTGACAATCCATTCCAGTTTGGGCAGTGACACTCGAGAATTAGCACAGACCCCCGCGATGAGGGCTCAATCCCACAAGACTGTGCTGCCCCTTCCCACCTTCAGATGTCCTTCACAAGACCCAGCCCACCCAGGCTTCTGTGGACGGGTTATAAATTGGGGTTTCCCACAACTACTCTTAGGTCCAATAATTTGCTAGAACAGCTCACAGAACTTAGGAAGGGACTTTACTTATGTCTGGCAGCTTCTTATAATGGGGATAACCCAGGAACAACCAAAAGGGAGAGATGCACAGGGCAAGGTATGGCAGCAGAGGGACATCAGGAGCTTCCGTGCCCTCCCCCGGGCACACGTGTTCACCAACCCAACAGCTCATCAAGTCTCCTTGTTCAAGAGGTTTTATTGGGCTTTGTCTTCGACCTCACTCCCTCTCCCAGAGATCAATGTGGGAGGCAGTGGGGGGGCGTGGGGGGAAGGGAGGTGGTGCTCTAAATTCCAATCCTCTAATTACTTGGTCTTTGTGATGCCCAGCCCCACTGTAAGGCTCTCTAGCGCCCCCACCTTCCGTCAGCCCATTAGCACAGACTCAGGTGTAATCTAAAGGGGCTCTTATGAATAATACGAGATAATCTTATCACTCAGGAAATTCCAAGGGAGCTCATGCTAGGAAATAAGGACAAAGGCCAAATACATTTCTTATTATGCCACACTTTTTATTTATTTATGTATTTATTATTTTTTAAATGTTTATTTATTTTTGAGACAGAAAGAGAGAGAGACAGAGTGCTAGTGAGGGAGGGGCAGAGAGAAGGAGACACAGAATCTGAAGCAGGCTCCAGGCTCTGAGCTGTCAGCATGGAGCCCAATGTGGAGATCAAACCCACAAACCGATAGATCATGACCCGGGTGAAGTTGGCCACTTAACTGACTGAGCCACTCAGGTGCTCCTATTTATTATTTTTTTTAATGTTTATTTTTGAGACAGAGAGAGAGAGAGACAGAATGTGAGTGGGGGAGGGGCAGAGAGAGGGAGACACAGAATCCAAAGCAGGGTCCAGGCTCCAAGATGTCAACACAGAGCCGGACTCAGGGCTTGAACCCACGAACCGTGACCTGAGCTGAAATCAAGAGTCAGGCACTTAACCAACTGAACCACCCAGGCCCCCCTTATGTCATAGTTTTTAATGGCCTTTCTGTCTAGTAATAATTTTTGCCTTAAAGCCTATATTTTCTGATACCAATACAGTTATACCAGATTTTAGTTGGTATATGTTCTTAGTATTTGCCTAGCATATCTTTTATAATTTTTAAAAATTAGTATATAATTTATCAAAGTAGATTGAAAAGTCTTATTTAACTTTCCAAGTTCAAATTTCAGATTTTTAAAAAAGGTTTATAATATAAATTCTTAATATATAGAAAGTACTAGATAAATGACTTCAATGACCACCTATATACCCACCACGTAGATTAAAAACTTTACTGTTTTGTCATATTTGCTTTATCTGCATCTATTTTTTCAATGTTTATTTCTTTATTTAGAGAGAGAGTGAGAGAGAGGGAGACAGAGAATCCCAAGCAGGCTTGTCACTGTCAGTGTGGAGTCAGAAGTGGGGCTCAAACTCATGAACTGGAGATCATGACCTGAGCCGAAATCAAGAGTCAGATGCTTAACCAACTGAACCTCCCAGGAGTCCCTGCATCTATTTTTTTTAAATGAGGTCATGTGTTTATATAAGCCTAAAACCAAATCACTTAATAAAATTAATAATTCCTTAATATTCTTTAATGCCCAGGCCATACTCAAATTTCCTCCAAGTGTCTCAAATTGCTTTCCCAGGTGTTTTTTCACATTTAGCTGCTTTGTCCCGAACATGTCTTTCAATCTAGAACGAATTTCACACCCTCCTCAATTTCTCTCCTTGATAGCATTAATTTTTTTCAGACATCAGACCAACTGTCACGTACAATATTCATCCTCTGAGTTTGAATCTTTGTATCCTTATAATTTAAGAGTATCTGCTATAAACTGTATTCCCTGGATCAGCTCTCTAGCCCAGTGAAAGGTGTGTCTCTTACTTGGCCAGTTTACTATGGTGATTATCAGTGTATCTGAAACTTGTGTTATTTCCCACGTTTTTGTATGTAATTTTTATTTTATTTTTTTTTATTTTTTAATGTTTTATTTATTTCTAGGTGAGAGAGAGAAAGACAGCATGAGCAGGGGAGGGTCAGAGAGAGAGGGAGTCACAGACTGAAACAGGCTCCAGGCTCTGAGCTGGCAGTCAGCACAGAGCCCTATGCAGGGCTCGAACCCACAAACCGCGAGATCATGACCTAAGCGAAAGTCGGATGCTTAACCGACTAAGCCACCCAGGCACCCCTGTAATTTTTATTTTTTAATGGAACTAGGTGTCTTTGTTTTGTTTCCTTGTGTGTATCTTACCTCATTTCTTTTTTCTCAGCAGGTAGCCTGAAGGTTTCCATTCCATGAGCACCTTATGCCATGTGAGAGAGAGAGGGGCCTTGAGAGAGGAACCCACTTTCGAATTTGGTCTGCGCCAAATTCGGGACAATTCTGTCCAAATTTGGGACAAGACATTACATCACTGGAGCTGAGACACAAAGAAAACTGCACTGGGAGCAAACTATTCTCATCTTTATGCTGGGGAGTGGTGGATGGGCATGAGTTGACCCCGGGACTGGATCTGGGCCGGGCAGGAGGGGGTTGGCAGGGAACCACGGGCAAGTCCCATCTGGGAGGCCAAGCGGGGCCGATGAAAGGACGTATTTGCAACCAGATGGAGAAGCCTTGCCCAGTGGAGGGAAGGCCACGTGACCCCAGCAAAGTACTTCTGAGGAGCCCACGAAAGCTCCCCTTCCGAGAAATGGCCAAGTCCATGTTCTCCAAACATCTGCCAAGGCCGGCTAGTAGCAGCAGCAGACCTCAAGCCACGAAAGGTGGTGCCTCGTCCCCAGGGGAGACCAGTCGTGGGGGCAGCCGCACACTGTGACCGGGCCCTGCGGGCAGAGCCGAGGCCAGGCGGGATGCTGGGCTTGAAAGCTGAGAGCCACAGTCGGTGGGGAGGGCGGAGCTAAGGGGCCACGGGACCGGGGGGGCTGCGGGAGGGGTGCGGGATCCGAGACTCGGCGGGGGGGGGGGGGGGGGGGGGGGGGGGCGGCCAGCCCGAGTGGACAGGAAAGAGGAGCGCCGGGGCTGGAAGCAACAAGGCAGAGGAAAGGTGTGGCGAGCAGAGGGAGATGAGGGAGGTCTACACAAGACCGGCGAGGGCATGTACTGAGTTTCCTTAGGGCAGAGGTTTGGTTTGGTTGGGCTTTTACTCCACTGACCATCCCCAGACTTCAGCTGCTGGGTCCTGGAAGAAGTCGTTCTCGGTCTAGTTCTAGGTCAAGGGTCCTGTTCTTGCCTATCGGTCAGGTCCGTCTGTCCGTCTCCCTGGCTGCTCGCCTGTCTCCTCACGACCCGAAATGCCCGTTATTTGAGATCTCTGGAGTTGGCCTGTTGCCTGCAAGGTAAAGAACGCAGCCGGCAAAGAGAAAGGGAGGGAAAACCACCAGAGGGTCCAGGGCACAAGGCACAGGGCCCGGCTGGGCCCTCGACGCACTTCACACCAGGCCATTCTTGCTGCGTTTCCTCCAGTAAAGTCCTCCCTTACTGGGCTTTATTTTATCCTGCAAAAATAAGCCTTATCATCAAACAGCATGAAATCTGCAAACTGAAATCCGCAAACCGAAATCAGGCCAAACAAGGCCCCCTAAATGTACAAATGTCACTGCTGCCGGGACAGTCCCTTCAACTTATTGCGTCTGCCGCTTGTTTCTGGAGAACATGACTCCAATGAGGCCCATGGCGGCCAAGCCCACTCCCGTGATGCCAGCCACCACGACGGCATCTCTGACCTGCAAGAGAGCAGAGGGGAAGTCAGACTGTGTCAGGAATCCGAGTCCAGGCTGTACATTCAACAAGAAGGCTCCGCTCAGGGAGACTCACATGGCCCTTGGGCCAGTTGGCAAACTCAGGAGGCAACAGATATTGGCAGGGAAATGGGGAGAAGAGTGCTGGATGGGGAAAGAACGGATGGGCGGACCCAGCTGGCCAGGAATGTACTCGCCTCGATTCACTCTGTGGGTATTTAAAGCACATAAACCCTCAGAGGGTGGAAGCGGAAAGGACAGGGCGGCGAAGTCCGAGTGGCTGCGATCCTGGCTAGTCACCAGGGAGCCCTGGAAGCCGGTGCGAAGTGGGGCAGGGACTGGTATTGAGTGGTCAGTATGCCAACCTTGACCTTCACGAGAGCAAGGACCTCGCCTGTCTCTCTTGCCTTGTGCCTGGCTGCACCCCCGGGCCCAGTGCTGCCAGACACAGAGACACTCTCTACGTGTTCTTATATAAAGCCCCAACTGCGAGCAGCAGCGATGTGATACTTTATCAGGAGTGTGGGCTCAGGTAGCCTGGGGGGCTCAGTCGGTTGGGCGTCTGACTTCAGCTCAGGTCCTGATCTCACGGTTCGTGGGTTCGAGCCCCGCGTCAGACTCTGTGCTGACAGCTCAGAGCCTGGAGCCTGCTTTGGATTCTGTGTCTCCCTCTCTCTCTGCCCCTCCCCCACTCATGCTCTATTTCTGTCTCAATAATAAATTTAAAAATTTAAAAAGAAAAAAAAAGGAGTGCGGGCTTGTCCCGCTTATACCAGGGGAAAAAAAGTATTGCAAAAGTCAGAGTAGATTTCAGGGTAAAAAGTGAACGTGTGTCAAATTTCACTCCCTCCTGACACTTAACCAAGAGTAAATAAGGCACTTGTTTTAGGCGTAATTCCACAGGGGACCCACAGAACTCTACATTCTAAGGCAGGAGCGGAAAAGTTGAGGATCAAACCGAAGTATACAACGGGATCCTTGGAGAAGGTCCCTATTGGCAACGCCAAATACCTCTGGAAGCAGAGTGGACGCCGCAGCTAGGTCCCCGGGCCCCTCCCTAACCACAGCGGGAGTCTGAAAGTTTATTACCGGCAGAGGGTAAAACAGAAGACTTGGGGGCCTTCTGGAAATCCGGAAGCACACGTGAGGATGTGGATATCATGCCAAAAACAAGAGTCAGAGAGACTGTAAACATGCTAAAGGAGAAAACTTTCTGCCCCTCTTTGTTCCCAGAACTTGACCCACCACACAAGAGTCAGGAAGACTTTCCTGGGGAATCTGACCAGCCCAAATAGGAACAAAAGATACCAACACAGAAGATTCCCCAACAAACTGTCCACCTATGTCATCCAGAAGTGAAACTCAAGTCAGGAAGCCCCTCACAGTTCACTCAGACTTTCCATTCAGCAGGAAAGCCCCCCTCCATCCTGAGTCATGAGCATATGACCCAAATACCAGACATCTGAAGAAGGCTCTGAAACAGGAGACAGAACAAAATCAACTATAAACAATTTAACTTTTTAAATAATTAGGTTTATTTTTTAAAGTTTGTTTATTTTGAGAGAGCGAGAGAGAGCAGGGGAAGGGCGGGGATTGCGGGGGAGAATCCCAAGCGGGCTCCACACTGTCAGCACAGAGCCTGATGTGGGGCTCAAACCCACGAACCGCGAGATCACGACCCAAGCCGAAATCAAGAGTCGGATGCTTACCCAAATGAGCCACCCAGGCGCCCAGAAACCATACCTAGGAAAGAACACATCTTTTTAAAAAGTATCACTAAGGAATCAGAGGACATACTGCATCCAATAAATAACACATGCTGCTATAAAAAATAATAGAATAAAGGGGCGCCTGGGTGGCTTAGTCGGTTAAGCGTCCGACTTTCGCTTAGGTCATGATCTCGCGGTTCGTGGGTTTGAGCACCGCGTCGGGCTCTGTGCTGACTGCCAGCTCAGAGCCTGGAGCCTGTTTCAGAGTCTGTGACTCCCTCTCTCTCTGACCCTCCCCTGCTCACGCTGTCTCTCTCTCTCCTAGAAATAAATAAAAATATTTAAAAAATAATAATAATAATAATAATAGAATATGGAGAGAATAAAAACAATTCTTAGAGAGCACAATGGAAATAACAGACCCAACAGAAAGTTTGAAGGATAAAGTTGAGGAAATCTCTCAGGAAAAAAAAAAAACAACGCAAAACACTGAGGACAAAGCAAACAGGGAATAATCCGGGCAGGCCAATATCTGAGTAACAGACGTTCCAGAAAGAGATAATACAGGAAACACAGAGGAGGATCAAGAATGAAATAATTCATGAAAATTAAGTAGGACTAAGGGATGCATGTTTTCAGATGGAAGTGGTGTTCTCAGGCCCAGCTTGATGGATAAACGTAGACCCACACCAAGGCACATTATTGTGAAATTTTAGAAAACTGGGTAAAGAGAAGCGCCTGGGTGGCTCAGTCAGCTGAGCACCTGACTCTTGATTCCAGCTCAGGTCGTGATCCCAGGGTCGTGGGATCAAGCCCCACTTTGGGCTCTGTGCTGAGCATGGAGCCTGCTTAGAATTCTCTCTCCCTCTCCCTCTGCCCCTCTCTTCTGTGATCTTTGTCTTTCTCTCTTAATATTAAAAAAAATTTTTTTTTAGAGAAAATGGGGTAAAGAAAAGATACTACCAATGCTAGAGCAGGGGAGAAAAACAGGAAACAGAGGAAAGATCAGGAATTGAGATAACTTCAGATTTCTCCAAAGCAATACTGAAAGCAAGAAGACCAATGGAACATTGCCTCCAAAATTCTACAATAAAAGAATTTCTAACCTAGAGTTCTGTACTCAAACTATCAAGTCAAGTGCAAGGGTAAAATAAAAATAATTCAGAAATAAAAATAATTCAGAAATACAGCATTTTCAAAAATGTACCTTCCATCCATCCTTTTTCAAAAAGCTGCTGAAGAAGTTCCCAGCAGAACCAAGAGAGTAAACCACGAAAGAAGACATGAGCTACGAAAGAGGGGACGCTCCAGTGCACATCTGGATAGACAAGAATTTCTGCAGAACGATGGGGAGAGGAGACCCCGGGGACACCAAATTTGGGCCAGCTGTAAAGGGTAACCGGGAGGCAGAAATGTGGCCCCTGAAGATGTCCACATCCTGATTCCACGAACCTGTAAGTCTACTGTACTACATGGCCAGGGAGAACTAAGGTTGCAGATGGAATTAGCGCGCTGATCAATTTACCCTAAAAAGGGTAGACAATCCTGGATTACCCACGTGGGCTCCAAAGTGTAACCACAAAGTTCCTTAAAAGATGGAAGAGCGAGTCAGTGTCATGCAGTATGGGAAAGGCTCAACCAACAATTGCTGATTCTGAACATGGAGGACAGGCATCAAGCCAAGCAGTGCGGGAAGCCTCTAGAAGCCAGAAAAGGCAAGAACACAGATTCTCTCCTGGAATCTCCAGGAAAGGAGGCAGACCTGCTGGCACCTTGATTTTAGCCCAGTGAAGCCATTTCAGACTTCTGACCTCCAGAACTGTAAGGCAGTAACTCTGGGCTGTTTTAAGCTACTGAATGCGTTGGTAATTGGTTACAGCTCATAGGAATCAACCCCCACAGGAAGCTCATACAGGAATCAACCCCCGCGAGAGCAGTGCGACTCCAGAGCCCAGCGTCCCCGTTATTCCACGTACTGTCTTTCGAACCTAAAGCAACTTCTGAGGGATGTGGTCAACCTGAATTAAGAGAAAGTCGGAGAAATAAGGAATGAAGAGATCACAGAACCACAGAATCCAATCCAAGAGAAAAAGCAAAGGAAACCCGAGAAAAGATAGCAAAGGGAAGTCCTAGGGTAAAGCCACACAGTCAGCCAAGAGCCAACCAGCACCGACGGCAGAATGGCCATCTGAGGGATGATGTGTCCAAACAGAACATTCTGGAACTGACAGATTACTTGACGTAATTTCCCTTCTGGAAAACTGTACTGAGAGCTAATCAGACAGTATGAGGAGAACTGACAATGGGTACGAGGAAAACTAAGGAATGAAAGAAGACAATAATTATCTTCAAGAAAAACGGAACCCCTGGGGCACCTGGGTGGCTCAGTCGGTTAAGCGTTCAACTCTTGGTTCCGGCTCAGGCCATGATCTCATGGTTCAGGAGTTCAAGCCCCACATCAGGCTCCATACTGTGACATGGAGCCTGCTTGGGAGTCTCTCTCTCTTTCTCTCTCCCTCTCTGATCCTCCCCTACTCTCTCTCTCTCTCAAAATAAGTAAATAAATAAACAAACCTAATTTTTAAAAATTTGTAAATAATTTTTAAAAAAAGGAAACCCTCCTCCCCAAAGGAAATTCATAATACATCACAACACTCAGGTGTAAGTAAAATTTACATAGGCATAAAACAAACATTGAATATTAACTCAATGAAAACATAGAATATGAAATTATACTGAGAGAATGGGGGAGGGGAGAGGGTGATGGCTTAAAAAGTTTACTTCGCATACAAGAAGTCAAAAGAGCATGTCTAAGTTTTTTTAATAAAAAGATGGTAGTATATATATGTTGTTTAGAAATTCAGAAATAATGGCGCCTCGGTGGCTCAGTCAGTTAAGTGTCCGACTTCGGCTCAGGTCATGATCCCGCGGTTGGTGAGCTCAAGCCCCGTGTCGGGCTCTGTGCTGACAGCTCACAGCCTAGAACCTGTCTTCGGATTCTGTCTCCCTCTCTCTCTGCCCCTCCCGCACTCGTGCTCTGTCTCTCTCTCTCAGAAATAAACAAACATTAAAAATAAAACAAGAAAGGGCGCCTGGGTGGCTTAGTAGGTTAAGCGTCTGACTTTCGCTTAGGTCATGATCTCGTGGTTCGTGGGTTCGAGCCCCGCGTCGGGCTCTGTGCTGACTGCCGGCTCAGAGCCTGGAGCCTGTTTTGGATTCTGTGTCTCCCTCTCTCTCTGACCCTCCCCGGCTCGCGCTGTCTCTCTCTCTCCTAGAAATAAATAAAACATTTTAAAAAAATTTTTTTAAATAAAACAAGAAATTCAGAAATAGGTAAACACCAAACCCAAAGAGAAGGGTGGGTGCCAGGTGGGATGGGGAGAAGTAGAGAGGCATGGGCCGGGGTACCCTGAGCCCTGGTTGTCTTTCCCAATTGTGTGCATGCATTACTTTGAAAGTTAAAAATTAGATTCCAAAGACTTTTCCAGAAAAAACAACAGCAGCAACAAAAGACAAAGAAATAGAGGCAAGCATCTTTAGCCCGGAAACCTGATGCAAAACCTTACCGCATCCACTTCCAATGCCAACGCCATGTCTACAGGACTTGAAAGGCAGGAAGATGATGCGGAAGCCATTCCATACGTGAGGCAAAGACTCTGGGTGTTTCGGGAAGACACAAACGCGACATGCGAGCAAACAGCCATGGGAAATGTCACTGATGCATCACACAGTCAACTATGTGTTACACAGATGGGACAGAAGCATGTGATTAAGTGACCACTGTTGTGATAGTCTGGCTTTATGATGGGGCCACTGGGAGCTCATGCATGCACACGCGCGCGCACACACACACACACACACACACACCCCAATCTCAGATTCATCCTTCACTTTGTTGGAAACATCCCCCTTACCTCTGACCTCTAATCTTCAATCTCAAGTTTGTCTTGAGTGCCTAAGAGTGCACTCAGCTTTTGCTATTGGTGTTTCAGACATCAGGACTCTGTCTGCCTCCGATAAGCTTTCAGGAATTAGATCTGCTGTCGCTCGCTCTTCTTTTACCTCAGTGTTCAAATGCATTTGATGTGCACAGCACTCTCCTCGTATAATTCGAGAACCCAACAGTCTGCCACTGAGCTGAAACATGGTAGTAACATATGAGCTCCAAAGGCATTAAGAGCTTCAGTTTCAGTGTCGATAAAAAGCCTCTATCAGTGAGTGGTGAGGATGCAGTCCGAAGCTGAGAAAACACCCCCAGGGGGCGCCTGGGGGCTCAGTTGGTTGAACGTCCCACTCTTGGTTCCTGCTCAGGTCATGATCTCATGGTTCGTGGGTTGGAGCCCCGCACTGGGCTCTGCACTGACAACGCGGAGGCTGCTTGGGATTCTCTCTCTCTCCCCCTCTTTTTCTGCCTCTCCCCTGCTCTCTCTCTCTCTCTCAAAATAAATAAATAAACATTAAAAAAAAAACCAAAACAGCCCCAACACAGAAGTCAGTTGCCCTAATGTACACTCTGGCTGCAAAGCTGATGTATCCAGTGGCCCTTTCCTCCGCTTCTTTCCCAGCCTCTAAGCCACAGTGTCCTCACAGCCGCCCTTCCGGCCTTCGTGTTTCGTCAGGTGCAGCATCAACAGTGAAGTTAACAAAACTCAGTGGTGACAATTCAGATCAGCAAGAAACCGCGCGCGAGAGTTCGGCCTCTTTCTATTTCTAGCACACTCCAGGTGCTCTGGGGACACCTACTCCCAGGACAAAGAAAAGGGAGCACCAGCCCTCCCTTCAGCTCACAGCCACTGTCCCCAAGGAAGGCACCACGGCCCAAATCCGCAAAACTGTACTTTCTCCCAATGAAGGCGTGAAAGGGTATCACGAACAGGGATCGAGAAATCTCACCCGTGATCCAAGCCAGGCGTTTAAGCAGAACTGAGGACGGCAAAGACAAAGATTCTTAATCGTCATTATTACGCCCAGAAGTCCAATGAGGACGACATACCAAAAATCTCAGACATCAAGAGGATGACAATATGAGCCTGATACCCACAACTATACAGTCGACACTGCCCTTGCTACCTAAGCACAGAGGCTGCCTGGGTTGTATCCTGGGGCTCCCAGAGCCCCTACACGACCCCTGTAGAGAAGAACTTGGAGGTCTTCGATGGTTAAAGATATATAGATCCTGGCGCTCCGTGGACCATACATGGGCCCAACAGAGCTGCGGGCGGCGTCAGGAAATATACCCGTGTCACTTACATCCGAGTGTGGTACCCGCAGCTGCCGTTCCCAGCAGCCAGAAGGCATGATGACAGGGTCTGGATGAGGCTACTGCCCTGATGTTTGACAAGTCAGTCTTGGGCCTTCCTCCTAGAGGAAGTCAGGCACGGTTTTGGGACAGCTGTGCTTCTGTTAGGGAGCCTGCACGAAGCCCCGGCGTTTCCCCTGCTCACCGGATGTGTCCGGGCGGGAGAAACCGTTTGCAGATGAGGTGGGAGGCACAAGGCGCCCCCAGTTCTCTACAGAACCTCACAGAGTGAGGGCAAATGCTGAGGCAGCGGCTGCAGACAAAAGGTACTTTGTCGAGGAAAACCACAATGGGGCACTGTGACCATGCTCTGTGCAGCGTCAAACGGTATCATCACATGCAAGAAAGGGGTCTCTAGTTAGTGCTGATAGTGCACATTTTACAGGGGGTGGGGGTGGGGGAGCGACCGGCCTGAAAGAGTCAGCACTACAGCCACTACCGAGGGTTTTCTAGCCAGGGGCTGCTGGGTGAGCCCAGGCTCTGCGCTCAATTACTGGAGCTCTGATCACAAAAAGGGCCACCCAGCGTGAGGCCCAGGCCTTCAAGCAGAAGAGCATGAAACAGAAAACAACTGTCCCTCATCAGAAGTGCGAAGAAACGTGCCTGTGGACAAACTGAAATTCTACTAGACCCCAGAAAATTAGCTGCTTACCCAACATAGCTACTCTGCTGAAGCCCCAGAATTATTTCTGGGAAAAGGAAAATTCTTTAAAAAAATTTTTTTTTTAATGTTTTATTTATTTCTGAGAGAGAGAGAAAGACAGCATGAGCAGGGGAGGGCCAGAGAGAGTGGAAGACACAGAATCAGAAACAGGCTCCAGGCTCTGAGCTAGCCACCAGCACAGAGCCCGACGCAGGGTCGAACCCAGAAACCGCGAGATCACTACCCGAGCCGAAGTCCGACGCTCAACCAACTGAGCCACCCAGGCGCCCCATGAGAAAAGGAAAATTCTAATGTGCTTTTTTTTTTTTTTTTTCCACTCTTAGCCAAGTTCTAAGTGGATAAAAGAAGAGTGTTGGGGGCGCCTGGGTGGCCCACTCGGTTGTGCACCTCACTTTGGGTAAGGTTACGATCTCACGGTTGGTGGGTTCGAGCCCCCTCCCCCCCCACGTGGGGCTCTGCGAAGATAGCAGGGAGCCTGCTTGGGATTCTCCCTCCCTCGCTCCCTGCGCCTCCCTCACTTGCACTCCCCTCTCTCAAAATAAATAAATAAACTTAAATAAAGAAAAAGAAGAGTGTTATTCAAAACACAGGATTCCATCGCGGCTGTGGCTCACATCCGGGGCCACAGCGCCTGACCGCACCTCTCTGTGGTGCCACCTCCCCGCCCTCGTCCCCACCCCGAGTGTGACACAGTGAGGGCAGGGATTGCTGCCTCTGCTGTTCTCCCTTCTTTGTGCCTGACGCCCAGCCACAGCCAGCTGTGGGAATGGCCTGGCTCGGGGACGCGGGGCACAGGCTGAGGACGCACCTGGTCGCTGCGGGCGACTCCATAGCGCAGGTCGTTCACAAAGTGCTCGCAGTTCTCACAGGGCAGCGAATAGGGCAGCTCCTGCCCCACCAGCTCCTCCGCCCGCTGGACGATTTTGCTGGGAGGCAGCGGCGAGTACTTGCCATCGTGTTTGTTATTGACCCGGTACCTGTCTCTCCCGACCACATCGTCCAGCAGCTCCTTCTTCACCACCGCCTTCTCAGTCAGGGTGGACATGATGCTGGCCGCACCAGCTCCCGCAATTTCACCTGGGGATTCGCAAAGGGGAGAGAGAGGGATCGGTGCCGGTGGGTCCACAGGCCCTGGCTCCAGCCACAAGAGCATGCGCAGATGTGGAGGAGAACAGCGAGTCGGGCCAGACACCGGCTGTGTGGCTTCGGAGATCGCGCCTGTGGTCTCTGGGCCCTGGTTTCCTTATCTGAAGTGGGGAGTAGGCAAGTTTCAGGATTTGTTGTGATTTTTTTTTTGAGCCAGAGAAGCTGACCTTCTGCACCCCGTGGTTCCTCGGGGACCCTCTTGGCTGTGCAAATATGGGTCCCTAGCACCCCCATCTCCCTAGGGGAATAGGGGATGACCCTTTTGTGAGTCCAGCAAGGACACACTCCTGTGACAAATACAAAGCTGATAACTGCAGGAAAGGTAGATCTTGTAGCCGACCCCCCCCCCAGACTTCTGGGAGCAGTTCCTCGAGATGTGGTGTCGGGGAGGCCCAGGGGGCGCAGTGGCATGGCCCTGGCCGAGGCTGAGGGACTGGAAGGGACAACAAAGCCCCAGAAAGTAAACTGCCTGTGGAATATTCCTCGGCCACAAAAAAAGCATGAGATCTTGCTATTTGCAACAACATGGGTGGAGCTTGAGGGCATGAGATGAAGTGAAGGGAGTCAGACAGGCAAAGATGAGTACCGTATAATTTCACTTAGATGTGGAATCTAGAAAACAAAACAAAGGACTAAAGAAATAAGCCAAAAGCAGAAAGAGACCCATAAGACAGAGAATGAAATGGTGGTCGCCAGAGGGGAAGGGAGTGGGGATAGGAGTGGGAGGTACAGGCTTCCAGATAGGGGGTAAGTCAAGGGCATAAAAGGCACAGCATAGGGAGTATAGTGGGTGATATCGTAGTAGCTTCATGTGGGCGCGGACGGCATCTGCACTTGCAGTGAGCACAGCGGTTTGCAGGGACTGGTCCCTTCACTCCACACCTGAAGCTAATGTAACATCGTGTGTCAACTATACTTCAATTTAAAAAAATAGGGGCACCTGGGTGGCTCAGCTGATTAACCATCCGACTTAGGCTCAGGTCATGAACTTGCAGTTCAGAGCCTGGAGCCTGCTTCGGATTCTGTGTCTCCCTCTCTCTCTCTCTCTGCCCCTCCCTCACTCATGCTCTGTCTCTCTCTCTCTCTCTCTCATAAATAAATAAACATTAGAAATTTTTAAAAAACCTGTCTCAAAGAAAGGGGGTCTAGGGTCAACACAAGGGCCAGGACGGTGGGGAGGGAGGCTGATGTCAGCACAGGGACCGGCCATCTCCCCCAAGGCGGCCAGCCTACGCAGTGTGAGCACGCTTTGGGCATGACGGCTTAAAGAGTGGCTGTGCACCAAAGAGGTGGACCCCAGAGAGATCCCCTCTCCCTCAAAGAGCTTCTGTGGCCCTGCCGGGATCGGATCTCCGTGGCTCCCCCCGGCAGGGGACGCACCTGTTAGGCTGGGCAGCAACTGCCTTCCACTGTGACACCCTGTGACAGCAACAAGCAGTGGCAGGAGAGCTGATCAGATTCTAGGTCCTGCGCTGCTTGGCTTTCCAAGGAGGACTAAACTCATCTGCCCCGAGTAGAATCCTGAGATTTTAGAAAACCAGGGGAGTTCAGACCGGCTCCCAATAGGGTGGGAGGTGTTTGAGGCCCCATTGCGGTAAATAAGGTAAGTTTCAGCGCCCAGGCAGGAAGGGTGGCCACTGAGCCTGGGGTCAGGGAAGCTGGGTGCCTACACCACAAAATTTAAGGAGGTTCCAACTCTCAGGGTCAGGCGAGTTCAGAGTCAGCCCCTAAGAGTGAGGCTTCCTTAAACTTTGCACTTTGGGTACCTCCCTGGTGGTTGGTACAGCAGGGCCCTGGCTGACAGGAGGCTCATTCTGGCTCAGTCACTCAGTGGTCCTGACCTGTCACCTAATCTTGCGGAGGCAACACCGTGGGAGTCCCCAAATAGATACCAAAACTGATACCCAAACACACATCATAATTTAAAGCCCCTTTTCAAAGAATTATTTCTGTGTTTAAAGTTAGTCCACTATAGAAAATATTTATTAAGTGGGATGCCTGGGTGGCTCAGTCAACTGAGCATCCGACTCTTGATTTTGGCTCAGGTCATGATCTCCCGGTGCACGGGATCGAGCCCTGTGTCAGGCTCTGAGCTGACAGCAGGAAGCCTGTTCGAGACCCTCCCTCTCTCTCTTTCTGCCCCTCCCCTCTTCATGTTCTCTCTCTTTCTCTCTCTCTCAAAATAAATAAACTTAAAAACAAACCTTTTTTTAAAGAAAGTATTAATTAAGCAATCATAGAAAGGTCACGTGGGTATGACACACGTTTGATGACTGAATTTGGGGAAATGTCAGACCGGGCAGTATAGCATCATGTGTTAAAGGCCCAGACGTGAGAGTCACACAGCCAGAGTTCAAGTCCCACCTCTACCTCTGTCTGCTGTGTGACCTTGGGCAAGGTGCTTAACTTCTCAGAGCCTCCAATTCCTTGTAGAACACGGACAATAACAGCCCTCCCTGTCCCTACTGTACCACAGTGGGGGCTGCAAGGATTATGGAGTCTCAGACCTGGCCACGTAAGGTGCCTTCTCCAGTGGCCGGCACAGGGGGGTTGCCCAGCAAGTGTCAGGTGTCACTATCATTAGGGTTGTTCCCCATGCTTCCTTCCAACTCTAATTTCTACCATTTTCTGAGTAGCACGAGGTCAGTCCTGACCTGTCTGGCAAGATTCCTGTGTAGCTTTCATCAGAAGATGCACATGGAAGCAACTTTTCCCATTAAGGAGCATCACCCACCCAATGACCTGTGACACACACCTGTCCCCAGGACCCCCGCCATGCCCTCAGGCACTTCCAGGTAGTGAAAATGCTCTGGATTAGATTAGATGAAATATTACGGGAGAGGTTGACTAGGGGAGGCTCGGGAAGGGGAGGGCCACAGGGAATGGGCATCGAAGGGAGCCTGGAATGATGGGGGCAAGGCAGCTGTGCTGAGATCCAGGAAGGAGCAATCACATGCAAAAGGAAGAGCAAGGGCAAGAGCCTCCGGAAGGAAGAGCGTGGCATGCTCCAGAGGCCACAGAGTGACCAGCGTGGCTGAAATCCAGGAACCCAGGAGGAGAGGAGAGAAAGATGAGGGTCAGAGAGGCAAGCAGAGGCCAGACCACACCAGACCTCATGGGCCACAGTATAAACTTTGAGGCTTATTCTATGTGTGATGGGAAAGCCAGTCAAGAATTTTGGGGCACCTGGGTGGCTCAGTCAGTTAAGCATCCGACTTCAGCTCACGTGAGTTTGAGCCCCATATCAGGCTCTCTGCTGTCAGCACAGAGCCTGCTTCGGATCCTCTCTGTCTCCGTCTCTCTCTCTCTCTCCCCTGCTCATGCACATTCTTTCTCTTGCTCTCTCTCCAAAGTAAACATTTAAAAACAAAAAAGAATTTTAAGGGCCATCTTCTTCCTGACTGGTTTTCGGCAAGTTCTGTCTCAGAGCTGGTGAGAAGCACTCTCACACCCTGGCCATCACCTTTTCCTCATTCCCCCACCAGGGACCTGCTCTACTCAACTTAGGGTGCCATACCAGGGGAGGTGGCCGGGCAAGCTCTGGTGCTCGAGAGTGGTTAGGTGCGGATAGCAAGATGGCTTCAGGAAAAGCCAAAACTGGGCACCCTGCCCCCAAGTTCAAAGCCACAGCCGTTATGCCAGATGGCCAGTTCAAGGGCATCAGCCTCTCTGACTTCAAAGGAAGATACGCTGTGTTTTTCTTCCACCCTCTTGACTTCACCTTTGCGTCCCCCGCTGAGATCTTTGCTTTCAGTGACAGGACAGGAGAATGTAAGAAACTCGACTGCGAGTGATCGGTGCTTCTGTAGACTCTCATTTCTGTCACCTGATGTGGATCCACACACCCAGGACTGGAACCCACAAACATTACTCTGGTATCATACCCCTAGCATACCATCGCTCAGGACAATGGAGTCTTCAAGGCTGATGAAGGCATCTCCTTCAGGGGCCTCTTTATCGTTGATGATGAAGGAATCCTTGGGCAGACCATGGTGAACGACCTCCCTGCCGGCCGCTCTGTGGATGAGGCTCTGAGTCAAGCTCCGGCCTTCTGGTTTACTGACAAGCATGGGGGCAGTGGGCTCAGCTGGCTGGAAGCCAGGCAGCGATACCATCAAGCCTGACATCCAGAAGAGCAAAGAATAATTCTCTAAGCAGAAGGGAGTGCAGGGTCATTTTAGGGCCGGGCTGCAGTGGGCGACCATGAAAACAAAACCTCTTCTGTACTACTGTCATGCTCAAAACACAAGACTTTAGATTTGGTGCAGATGTGGTGTGGGATAGGACACGGCTTTCCTGCAGGGGCGGGGGAGGCCAGCCCTTCTTCCTCTGGAGAGCATGGCCTGAGCCGTGCTATGGGGCAGGCCAACTGATGTGTGAAATAAGGGGGCATCCCTTTCGCTCTTTTGTTGTTTCTCTTAAACTTGAACTGAGAAGGGGGAAGAATCTTAAGGAGAGAAGTAACCTAGTCAGACTTCTACTTTAGAATGACCATGCTGGCTGCCCAGGGAAGGAGGGACGGACCACAAGAGAGACCAGCCGGAAGCTTCAGATGACAGCATGGTAGCTTATGCCAGGGCACGACAGCGGAGACGGTGAGAAGCGATCGGACCTGGGGTCTGTCTTGGAGGTAAAGGCAACCAAATTTCCTGGTGGATCAGATGTAGGGTGGAAGGGATTGAGGATGATGCCTAGATTTTTGGCTCGAGCAGCCAGATAGTGTCATCCACCAGAGCCTTTCAGTGCACGTCAAGTTCAATGTGCCAACTGGACACCCAGGTGGAGATGCCAAGCACTCAAGAGGCTCTACATGGAGGCTCCTCCACCATGAAGGTCCAGAGCAGGCAAAACTGATTTAGGGCAAGAGAAGCTAGAATAGCGATTGTCTCTGGGGGTGGGGGTGGGGGTGGGAAGGTGACGAGAGGGAGCCTCTTAGGGAGGTACGAATGTTCTAGATCTTGATCTGGGTCATTGTCACATGGACCGACAATTTTTTTTAATTCACTGACTACACACTTTCCTATAGTTCTGTACTTTACTATATTTATGTTATACCTCAGTTTAAGTAAAAAAAAAAAAAGTGTAAGAAAAGTGATAGGGGGTTCTCACGATTCTCCGGGTGAAGCTTACAGATAAGGAAACCAAGACTGGAGAGTGGAAACTAGATTCAGCACCAAACCTGCCATCCAAAAGCCTGTGCTCTCACAGGGAGCTTCACATGGAAGAGTTGAATGTGTTTTGGGCACCTGGTGGCCTCAGTCAGTCAAGCGTCTGACTTCGGCTCAGGTCATGATCTCACGGTTTGTGAGTTCAAGTCTTACATCAGGTGAGCAAGAGCCCTGCTTTGGGCAAGCCCTCCTTTTCCACTTCTCTCTCTCTCTCTCTCTGTCTCTGCCCCTTGTGGGATTCTCACTCACTCTCTCTTTGCCCTCCCTCACTTGCACCCTCTCTCTTTCAAAAAAAAAAAAAAGAATTGAAGGGAGACTGGGTGGCTCAGTCAGTTAAGCATAGACTTAGACTTTGGCTCAGGTCATGATCTTGCGATCCATGGGTTCGAGCCTCGCATCGGGCTCTGTGCTCACAGCTCAGAGCCTGGAGCCTGCTTCTGATTCTGTCTCCCTCTCTCTCTGCCCCTCCCTTGCTTGTGCTCCGTGTGTGTGTCTCTCTCTCTCAAAAATAAATATTAAAAAAAAAAAAAAAAGAACTGAACATGTTTTATAAAAAGCTATAGTATTTAAAGCCATAAAAGCAGGGGGCGCCTGGGTGGTTCAGTCAGTTGAGCATCTAACTCTTGATTTCGGCTCAGGTCATGATCCCAGGGTTGTGGGATCAAGCCCCATGTCAGGCTCCGCACGAAGCTCGGAGCCTGTCTCCCTCTCTTTCTGCCCCTCTGCCCTGCTCGCATTCTCTCTCTAAAACAAAAACCAAAAACACAAAAAGCGTAAAGACAGAGCTGTCCCCTTGAAAGCCCACCTGAGCCCCCGTAGGGAACCCTTAGGGTTCCAGGGAGCAGAGTTTGAAAACCATTGCCTCACACCAGCCGACCTCCTTGCAGCACTCAGGAGCCAACCACCAGGCGGGGATCAAGGAGACAGCGGGGGTCACCTGTTACCCACAGCCACCCCATCTCCCTCCACTCCCAGGCCCAGCACTGTGGGGTCTCTCGGTGCCCTTACTTGGGGGTGCCAGGTGGACCACGTAACCATCACCAACGTAGATGGCCCAGTGTTTGTAGAAAGGGCGGAAAATCTCAATCAGGTCTCCAACTTTGGGCTCTGGCTGCAAAATCAAGAACAGGGCTGTTAGAGGTGGTACAAGTGAGCCCTCGGAATCAGGTGGCGGAGGCTGGGGTCCCTTGTCACAGGCTGTCTAATTGGGAAGGTGCCTCTCAGATACTCCGTAACCTGGCCTTGGGCCTGGCCAAGAATCGCTACGTTTCTGGCAGTAATGTCCTCCTGGCTGCTCATCTCGATGATGAGTGGCTGTGTGTGTGTGTGTGTGTGTGTGTGTGTGTGTGTGCGCGCGTGTGTGAGTATATGAATAAAGGGAACTCCTTTCTCCTGTACACTATATTTACACCAACACTTCTACCACCAGAGATGTGGGTTTTCCACACCAAGCAATTCACTCCTCGGTGGAAGTGGACTGGATCGCCTACAATTTACCTCGATTTGACACTCACTGCCCAGAGTTAACACCGTCCCCACAGGTTAAGGGCTCAGTCCCACAAGGCTGCCTCCCCACCCTCCCCTTCAGCCGCCAGTCACAAGTCTTGGGTGTCACCTGTGCTTCTGATGAACCAGCTATAAATGGGGGGTTCCCATAACCCCCCCCCTTAGGTTCTGTGATTTGCTAGAATGGCTCACAGAACTCAGGAGCTGATCACCAGTTTGTTATAAAGAAAGCAACTCAGGGGGCTCCTGGATGGGTCAGTCAGTTAAGCGTCCAACTTCGGCTCAGGTCATGATCTCACAGTTTGTGAGTTCGAGCCCCATGTCAGGCTCTGTGCTGACTGCCAGCTCAGAGCCTGGAGCCTGTTTCAGATTCTTTTTTTTTTTTGTTAATGTTTTATTTATTTCTGAGAGAGAAAGAGAGGCATTGTGAGCAGGGGAGGGTCAGAGAGAGAGGGAGACAATGAATCCAAAGACAGGCTCCAGGCTCTGAGCTAGCTATCAGCACAGAGCCTGACGTGGGGCTCGAACCCACGAACTGTGAGATCATGATCTGAGCCAAAGTCAGACGCTTAACCGACTGAGCCACCCAGACCCCCCTGTTTCAGATTCTGTGTCTCCCTCTCTCTCTGACCCTCCCTTGCTCACGCTGTCTCTCTCTCAGAAATAAAACATTTAAAAAAGAAAAAAAGAAAGAAAGCAACTCAGGAAAGGCTGGATGGTGGAGATGCGCCGCATGGGGAGGGCACGTGGGATGCACGCAGCTGTCCGGGTGCACCCACTCCCCCAGCAGCGCCCCGTCTTCACCCCCAGAAGCTCTCTGAACCCCTCAGGTTAGGGTTCTCACGGAGCCTGTGTTAGTGACACAGGCATGACTGATTCACTCAGGGGCCCTTAGTGACGATCTCCCCCTCCAGCCTCCCTCCCCTCCCAGGAGGTCAGAGGTGGGGCTGAAATTTCCAGCCCTCTGACCAAGTGGGTTCCTCCAGCCCTGAACCCTCATCACCTGGTGAGCAGAAACTCCAGTGCGGATGAAAGGGGCCTGTTGAGGAAAAGGGAAGACCCCTCTCTCCTGTCACTCAGGAAATTACAAGGGTTTTAGAAGCCCCGTGCCAGGAACTGGGGACAAAGACCAAAACTAAACTTCTCACTGCCTCACAAGGAGTGCGTGTAGGGGTGAGTGTGCCGGGGAAATGCCATTCGGAGCCCTACCCTGTTGGGGCACATGGGGCTCTGCCAGAGGAAACTTCAGAGAGGTTCAAGATGCATTAGCATCATTGAGGGACCAGCAACAGACCCTACGCAAAGTGCTGGAGGCGGGGGCCTTAGATTTGGACCAGAATCAGGGATGACACGCTTCTCTGGTCCAAGCCGATCTGAAATCTCTTTAATGAGCAAGAAAACCATCCCTCTTTTTTAATTTTTTTTAATTTTTGAGACAGAGACAGAGCACGAGTGGGGGAGGGGCAGAGAGAGAGGGAGACACAGAATCTGAAGCAGGCTCCAGGCTCTGAGCTGTCAGTACAGAGCGCGATGCAGGGCTCGAACCCACGAACTGTGAGATCATGACCTGAGCCGAAGTCGGACACTTAACCGACTGAGCCCCCCAGGCACCCCGAAAACCATTCCTTTAGTCTTCAGCGAATGAAGACTCTGGGGAGCGGGCTCCAGCCAGCTTGCGCTTGGTGGGCAGGCCCATAGGTGTTCACCCACCTTCCACCGCCAAGCTCCATAGACCTGACAGAGAGTCCATCAAGGATGCTATGGGGACGACTCACCCCTGCATGGCCTCCCTTCGGATAAAAGGGATAGTGAGACTAGTCAATCACAGCTCCACAAGGCCTAGGAAGCAGGGTCAGTGGCAAGTTCATTTCTATTTATACAAACATTAAAACTGCAAATAAGTATTACATATGGCAGGAAAAAAAAATCTTTGCACAGAAACGTGGTGGGTAAGTCGTGTTCTCTTCTGCGGTAATTGTAGAGTCCACCAAAAAGAAGGCTCCCAGACCTTACCAAGGACCTATTTCACAACGATGGACAATGGATGCAATTTATGAATCCCACTTGTGTTCCAGAATAAAAGAAAAAAAAATGTATTGTTTGGTGAGAATTAGGGGGTCTTCAGAAACCCCCAAAAGGGAATTTAACTGGGGGTCTCCGTGAATAAGCAAGGACATAGAGACAAGGCAGGGACCCAACCCTCAGGAAGGCTACCAACTGCAATAGGAGATGGTTTGAACATCAGTAAAAAGAAGTCAGGTAATGAGCAATCAGTGGGTATACGGACCCAAGGAGCTCACTGAGTTCCAGACGAATACCGATGAAAGGAAGTCTACACACAGATGCCTGGAAAAAAATTGTTTGTATTGCAATGACAAAACCATTTACAAAGAAATTCAAACCCTATAACCATAAACATCAAGAGATAACGGAGCAGCAAATACCTGGTGCTCAGTAAAAGAGGCCATACCCAAAAGCAGTGTGATGTATCATCCCGGGTATGTGTCGTTCCAGAAAAGCCATCACTCTAGGACAGAGAAGCCATCAGTGATCGCCAGGGGCTAGGAGTGGGGAGAGGAGCGGGCAGCAAAGGGGCAGGAAGGAGGAAACAAACGTTCTGTAATGTTCTGTAGCTGACGGTGCTGACAGCTATGCAGCCGTGTGTCGGTGAAAACTCATAGAAATGAATGCTAAAGGGGCGCCTGGCTGGCTCAGTTGGTGGAGCGAGTGACTCTTGATTCAGGGTTGTGAGTTCGAGCCCCACGTTGGGGGCAGAGATTGCTAAAACCTAAATAAATAAACATTTTTTAAAACTAAAATTATGTAAAAAGAAGAAGGAGGAGGAGGAAAGAAGGAAGGCAAGAAAGAAAGAAAGAAAGAAAGAAAGAAAGAAAGAAAGAAAGAAAGAAAGAAAGAAAGAAAGAAAGAAAGGAAAGAAAGAGGAAGGAAGGAAGAGGAAGGAAGGAAGGAAGGAAGGAAGGAAGGAAGGAAGGAAGGGAGGAAGGAAGGAAGGAAAGGGGCACCTGGGTGGCTCATTCATTAAGCATCTGACTCTGGTTCAGGTCATGATCTCACAGTTGATGAGTTCAAGTCCCACATCAGGCCCTGCTTCAGTTAAAACATGAGCCCCTGGTGAGCCCCACTTCTCTCTCTCTTATAGGAGCCCCTTGTAGGATATTCTCTCCCTCTCCCTCTCTCTGACCCTGACTCACTTGTGCCTTCTCTCTCTCTCAAAAATAAATAAATAAAATTTTTTAAAAAGAATCAATTAGACCTTAGTTTTTAAAACAGATTTTATTATTTTTTAATGTTTATTTATTTTTGAGAGAGAAGGCACGAACAGGGGAGAGCAGGAGACAGCAGCGAGAAAGGGAAAGAGAGACTCCCAAGGAGGCTCTGTACTGTCAGCACAGAGCCCCATGTAGGGCACGAACCCACAAATCATGAGATCATGACCCAAGCCAAATCAAGAGCTAGCCGCTTAACTGACTGAGCCACCCAGGCGCCCCTACCCTCAAAATGTTTTAAATAAATAAAAAAAAATTAATGTTAATGGATATCTAAAGTTTGAAGAGGAAAAAGGTTTTATTTTTAAATATGCAATCACAGGGCACCTGGATGGCTCCGTCGGTTAAGTGTCCAACTTTGGCTCAGGTCATGATCTCGCGGTTCGTGAGTTCAAGCCCCGCGTCAGGCTCTGTGCTGACAGCTAGCTCAGAGCCTGGAGCCCACTTCGGATTCTGTCTCCCTCTCTCTCTGCTCCTCCCCCACTCACACTCTGTCTCTCTTTCTCTCTCAAAAATAAATAAAAAAATAAATAAACATTAAGACAAATTGCCAGCCCCTCGTAGGAGCAGATGGTACCTATTTCCAAATATGCACAAGGTCAATACATAATAGCCCTCAAAGATACTTCTTTTTAAAAATAAAGTGAAAGGCAGTGGACTCACCTGTGGAGCCCTGCGCCCCAGTTTCTAACTAGTGCAAGGACTCGATGTTCACATGGCAACAAGGATAATCTTTTAGATACAGAGCTAAGTGGAAAAATGAGAATGAGCTCTGCAACCCAACACCGATTATATAAATTAAAGATACGCACACGCAAACCAATGAGATGCATCTTAGGAGAACCATTCCTGAAAACATCATTTTAAAAAACCAAGAAGAGGGGTGCCTGGTGGCTCAGTCCATTGAGCACTGACTCTTGGTTTCAGCTAAGGTCATGATCTCACAGTTTGTGGGTTCAAGCCCCACATAAGGGCTCTACATTGAGCCTGCTTGAGATTCTCTCTCTCCCTCTCTCTCTCTGCCCCTCCCCTGCTGGTTCTCTATCTCTCTAAACAAACAAACGTTTTGAAAAAATAAAAAATAAAAAGCCACAAGAACAAGAAGGACTGAGGCACACACATTAAATACATCAGGATGCTGGTCATTGGGAAGATGCAGTAAGGGATGAGGACCCAAAGAAACCAAAAGGAAAAACCCACAAGAGAGTCTTACAGGCACCAGTGAGGACAGGATGCCATAAACTAAGAATATGAATGACTTCACCCTCTGTCATAAAATCTAACTAGAGAAACAATAACCTCATGATACCCACAAGCC